GTCTTCTAGTGGTTATACCTATTTCCTCACCTGTGTAGATGCCTACTCTAGGTTTGTTTGGGTCTTTCCTCTCAGGCTTAAATCTGACACCTTACTTCAGTTCATACAGTTTAAGAAAATGGTGGAACTACAATTCAATTATCCTATTAAATGTGTTCAAACCGATGGGGGAGGAGAGTTTAGGCCTCTCACCAAGTATCTCACTGAGTTAGGTATCATTCATAGACTTACGTGTCCCCATACACACCACCAAAATGGCCTTGTTGAACGCAAGCATAGGCATATTGTTGAGACTGGTTTGACTCTTCTTGCCCAATCCACTCTACCTTTAAAATTCTAGGATCATGCTTTTGTCACAGCTTCCTATCTCATCAATAGACTTCCCAGTCCTACCCTTTCCAATCTTTCCCCTTACTTCAAGTTTCTCAACAAACCAACGAATTACTCTAATCTTAAAATCTTTGGCTTTGCATGTTATCCCTTTTTGCGCCCCTATAATACTCATAAACTTGCCTATAGGTTTCAACAATGTATCTTTCTTGGCTATTCCACAGCACATAAGGGTTACAAGTGTCTTGCTTCAGATGGTCACATTTACATCTCTAAGGATGTTGTGTTCCATGAGTCTCTCTTTCCTTACTCAACCTTATTTCCCACTTCCCCTCAATCATCTTCTTCTGGTCCCAATTCTGGTGTCCAGTTTGTCCCTCCTATATCCTTCTCTACTGCTGACAATCATTCAGCTTCTCCATCACCTTCATCACATTCATTACCTCCTTCCCACTCTAGTTCTACTTCTTCTACTAGTTCTAATTCCACTCCCAGTTCTAGTTCTAATTCCACTCCCAGTTCTGTCCCTGCAAATTTGCAGCATTCTGCTTTCTCCAGTCAGCCCTCTCTTCCATCAAGGCAGCAGTCTCCCTCCCCAATACCACAACCTATCACTGTTGTCCCTTTCTCACCCTCTCAATTTGATTCCCCAACTTTTATTCACACTGACCCAGCTGAGTCCAGCACCATATCACCTTCATCCTCTCCAAATCTCTCACTTTCAGTTGCCCCTAATACTAGTTCTTCTCTTTCCAATCCTACTGTACCTTTTGTTCACACTCAAAATGTGCACCCTATGCAAACTAGAGCTAAAAGCGGTATCACCCTACCCTTCATTTAACCCACATGGAACCAACTTCTGTTGCTCAGGCCTTGGCTGCTCCTCATTGGTTTCAGGCAATGAAAGAAGAATATCAGGCACTGATGAGAAATCAGACCTGGACATTGGTGAAAGCTACTGAATGCAGAAATCCTATTGGCTGTAAATGGGTTTTCAGAACTAAGGAAAATCCTGATGGATCCATTAGCAGGTACAAGGCCAGATTAGTGGCTAAAGGCTTCCATCAAAAGGTTGGAAGTGATTTTCAGGAGACCTTCTCACCAGTCATCAAACTAGTTACTGTTAGAATTGTGTTAACTATTGTTGTCAGTAACAAGTGGACCATACAGCAAATAGATGTTAACAATGCCTTCCTCAATGGCACTCTTGAAGAGGAGGTATTTATGCAGCAGCCTCCTGGCTTTGAAGTAGCTGACAAGTCACTGGTTTGCAAATTAAATAGGGCTATTTATGGTTTAAAACAGGCTCCTAGGGCCTGGTTTGACAAACTTAAGAATGCTCTATTTCAGCTTGGATTTAAGGCCAGCAGGTGTGATCCTAGTCTCTTTCTGCTGAGTCAAGGGAAGCTTCAGATTATGATTCTAGTGTATGTAGATGATATAATCATCACAGGCAATTCTGTTTCTTTTATCACAACCTTAATCAAGCTGCTTAATGACAGATTCTCACTAAAACAGTTGGGACAGCTTGATTACTTCTTGGGCATTGAAGTGTCTCATCTTCCCAATGGCTCACTGCTCCTATCTCATACCAAATATATCACTGACCTACTGTCTAAGTTGAATATGGTAAATGCTAATAGCATGCCTACTCCCATGGTTTCTAGTAGCAAGTTGTCCAAAGTAGGCTCAGCTGCTGTGGAAGATCCCACCCAGTTCAGATCTGTTGTTGGTACCCTACAATATGCTACTCTTACTAGGCCTGAGATTTCGTTTTCTGTCAACAAGGTTTGTCAGTTTCTGTCCAACCCTTTAGAGGACCATTGGAAGGCTGTCAAGAGAATCTTAAGATACCTAAGTGGCACTCTCCATCATGGTTTGCTCATCCAACCTGCTTCTGTTCAGCAGCCTATGCATTTGTTAGGGTTCTGTGATGCTGATTGGGCATCAAACCCTGATGATAGGAGGTCCACCTCTGGGGCCTGTATCTATCTTGGTCCTATGTTGTGTCATGGTGGTCAAAGAAGCAGCAACTTGTTGCTAGATCCAGTGCTGAAGCAGAGTATCGTAGCATGGCTCAGTTGGCTGCTGAGCTTATTTGGATTCAATCCTTACTCAAAGAACTTAACTGTCCATCTCAGGTTCCTAGAATTCTGTGTGACAGCTTGAGCACTGTCACCTTTGCCCACAATCATGTTCTCCACAACCGGACTAAGCATATGAAACTTGACATTTTCTTTTTGCGAGAGAAAGTCCTCAGCAAGCACATATCTGTTGCTCATGTTCCAGCTCAAGACCAATGGGCTGACATACTAATTAAACCTTTGTCTGCTGCTAAGTTTGTTCCTCTGCGTACCAAGTTGCGTGTGCTACACAAGACTGATCTCGCAGACCCACCAGCAGTTTCTAAGGGGGACTACGTCAATATATTTCTATTATTCTAAGTTTCTCTTAAGCTAGGTTTGCTGAGTTGTAAAGTTGATATAACAAACTTAGTCAGTTTGTTACTACTCTCTCTCATTATATATAGAGAGCACTCTCTTGTATTATAATTTGATTTTGATATAATGAGAGTTTACATCATTCTTTCTATTCTCTCAATTCTATCGGATTCTATCATGTCAAAGGTAAGAAAATATGTTTAACAAATTCCCTCACTCTCCTTCGTTACCTCAGATAATTCCGCCACAACCTGCTATTCCTTTGTTGTTTCTAGCCCTATCCGAATTAAGCTTTGCCCTTCCCTCTTCCCTCACTATGTACTTCCCATTTGGTCTGGACCACCTCTCGCATATGGATAGTGGAGACATTAGCTGTAAGAGCATTGCATGAGAATAATCTTTGACATTGTTGATGTATCTCGTTGTTATCTTCGTTTTTTCTATACTATGAACTACCTCTTGTGCCACTATAATATTTTCATGTATAAGTCTGCCTGGAATGAAGCCAGATTAGAAAGGGGAAACGATAGCAGGCATACACAGTGAGTCTCTCCACAATGATTTTGCTCACAATTTTGTACGTTACATTACACAAACAAATTGGTCGAAACTTGCTGATCAATTCAGGCTGCTTACACTTGTTTGTCTTGTTTATGTCTCCCAATCTGCTTGGATTCTCCCACACCCCTTGAACATAATCACACAGAGAACTAGCAACGATACTCCACAACTTTTGATAAAATCCTGCAGGGAAGCTTTCCACTGATTCATACTAAACACATCATCCTTGATCTCTTCATTGGCTGTGCTTGCTTCCAACTTATCCTTGGTAATATGATCTATGGCGGGATAAGTGATTGGGGTTTGGTGCCACAGTTGTCCTACATTAGTTAAAGCAGAGAGAGTTTTATAATGTTCAAGAAACATTTGGCAGAATTTGCCTTCATCTTCAACCCACTGGCCTTCACTGTTTTTAATAGGGGTGGTCATGGATGGTTAATGTCCAAACCCAATCTATAACCATATATAATCCATATATTACAACCGGTTATTAAAACCAATTCTCATAACCGATTTTTATTTTTTAAAATGGTTATAAACCGGTTATATCCATAACCAATTTTATAATTAGTTTTGATTTAATTTTATTTTAAAATTGATTTTTTTCAAAATCATAATATTGTTAAAATAACTATTTTTTTTTAAATTCATAATTTTTGGTCTCTAAATATTCAAAATCATAATTACTATTGTTTAAATTCATAATTATTATTGTTAAAATTTCATTATTAAATGAAAAGTTAGTTAATTGAATGAATTCAATTTAACTATTAATATATATATCATTTCATCTAATTCATCTCTATATTTAAAAAATATCAGTTTAGTTTTATATTTTAAATTTATTAAATCAATTTAATAATTAAATAATAATATTGGTTACAGTTACTCCAGTCTATCTATTTTTTCTTTCCTATATAATTCGTTGAATTGTAATTAAAAATATGTGTTATTAAAAAATGATAATTATTTAATATTTAAATATGCTTTTTGTATATAAATTACAATAAAAAAAAATAAACGATTGTTATCGTTTGAATAGTTATTAGATTAAATTAAAATTTTTATTTGAGATGGTTAAAAAATAAAAAATAAAATAAAAAGAATATGATCTAAATTTGCATTGATTGAATTAAACGGCAAATCTATTTTGATTGTAGATATGATATATTTTCTTTTTGTAGTCATTTAATTTGTGTGAACCAAAGGACTAATTCAAATAAAGAATGACAGAGTAAATTAAAATTTTAATTACTATTGTTATTTTAACAATATTATGAATTTAAAAATTATGAATTTCAAAATCATAATATTCAAAATCATAATTTTTAGTTATGAATTTTAATAAATAATTATTTTAAAATTTATAAAATTTTTATTTACCAAAAAAAATTAAAACAATATTTTTTTTCAAAAAATTAATTGTTTTTGAAAAATAAAAATATCTTTTTTTTGAAAAAAAATTTCAAAGTTTTTTTTTAATTAAAAAAAATTGACTAGTTTGATTTTTATTTTAGATATGGATGTCCAAATTATGGATTTGGTTAAAACCATATTAAAAATATATCCAAAATGTGGATTTGGTTAAAACCATACTAATAATTAACCGGTTTTTAATAACCGGATTTAGATATGGATTATTTAAATAACCGGTTTATTTGAACACCCTTAATTTTTAATCATCATTATTTTGTTATTTCTTCTGCGTTGCACTGTCTTTACATGGTAGAACTTGGTGTTACCGTCTCCGTCAGTGAGCCATTTGGTCCTCGCCCTTTGAAACCACATTAACTCCTCTTTCTGTAGAAGACCATGCATCTCTTGTTGCAACTGATATTCCATTCGAGCCAGGCCTCCACCGTGCCTTCTATGCTGAGATCTCTGTTGGATACCTTCAAGTCTTTTCATAATTGCTCTCTTTCTTCTCATAACTTGGTTAAGGGTGCGTCATTTCCACTTAGCTGCACCATCCCTTATATTCTCTAGATTTGTGGCTAGAGTCAGCTCATTGCTCCAATTTTCTTTAATCATTTAGTGATAGGACGTTTCCAACACCCATGCACTTTCAAACCGAAAGCAAGGCTTGGTTTGCTTCCAGATAGACCCATTAACACAAATAATGATAGGATGATGATCTGAGTAATCAATTATGGGGAGAACTTTAACAAAGCCATTAGGAAACTGTAATCTCCAACTGTCATTACAAAGCACTCTATCCAATCTCTCATATATGTGCTGGCCTCCGTTGTAGATCGGTCCCTTCCACGTATATCTGGATCTCACCGCTCCCATATCCATAAGACAAAAATCATCCATGCTATCACGAAATCTCTTGCATCTGTTCTGACAAACAGCAGCTTCACCCTTCTTTTCATGAGCAGATGCAATGTCGTTGAAATCTCCCAGCCACCAGCCAGGACTCTCTCACAGTAAGGCTGATTTCACGCAAGTTATTCCACATAATCCTTCTATTTTCTATATTAGGACTAGCATAAACAGTAGTAAACCACCAAGTTGCACCATGCTTAGGTTGGATCTTGAGGTGAATATACTGAAACTTTTTATGAATAACAGTTACATTAATGTCTTCCTCCATCCAAGCAATAGAAATGCCTCCTGCATAACTTGATTTTCATTAGACCAAAAGCCACCAAAACCCAACTTGAGAAGAGATTTTTGGAGCTTGGACTGGTCACAACAAGTTTCCATGATGGCAATCAGCTTAGGCTTATGAATACTAGTGTACTGTTTACAATACCTAAAAAAACTTTTGTTGGCTCACCTCTGCAATTCCAAACAAGTAAATGTTGTTGTACAATCATCATAAAGTTAGAAAAGAAATGGAAATAGTCCCCTAAGTTCTCACTGTTCAATCAGATCAGTGGCTTTCGCACCATTCTCATTCTAACTCTCTCACTGTTCAATTAGTGTTTGCCACTTACGCACCAACGACCTCAATTTGTCAGTGGTCAGATTCATCCCCTAAAGATTCAAATAAAAAATTAATAACAATAACACCTAACAACAATATAACCATAAAGAATAGATGCGGCAACCTATCATACCCAGAAATTTGTCAAGACATTCTTCCCTTGAACATCCTCGGCTCTAAGCCTAATCTTCCTGAAAGAGTGTTCTTCATCCCCTTGGAGATCAGCCAGAGAAACCTCAAACACTCTATGTTTGAGTCCATCTGAAGCAATCTGTGTCATTAAAAAACAATCATTTCATATTGAAGTATACAAAATTCTAATGGCACAACAATCAAACACATGAAAGACCAAACATCAGGACATCTTTAAGATTCAATAAAATCAAAACACAACATAAAAACCAATATTTTATATACCCTATAAAGAACCCAATACTAAGTAGCAACTTCACTACTTAACTTTATGCTATATTTTCTCAATATAACATAAGCATTTACATGGTTAACACTTAATTAAGTTGTACTTAAAAACTAAGGCATGATACAACAATCACTTAACAATGTACATATCAAACCAAATATCAATATAAGAGTTTGATATCATACCTTAGTTCCCTGAGTACGAGAAACGAGGGTTTTGCCAACATTTTTCACCTGAAAAACTGAAGGAGCTTTGATATCATACCAATCCTTTTTTGCAAAGGAATCAGCTCTGCAAATTCAGAGAAAACAAAGAGATCAAAACCCAGAATTGAATTTGAATACGAAATGTAAAGAAAAATTGTGAAAAAAAGAACCTTAGAGCAGCCCATACACTAAACCTTAGAGCAACATTTAATGGGAAAAAAAGAAGCTGATGAAAACAAAATTCGTTACAAACATTAAATTTTACAATGATAAAAAGAACCCACAAAAAATAAAGCAAAGTGTTAAGATAAATTTTTCAGCAGCTGCAGTGCAGTATCAGACAAGGATAAACATTAAAAATTATGCAGAATCTGTATATTTTAGGATAAACATTTGCAGTGCAGTATCAGACAGGATAAACATTAAAAATTATGCAGAATCTGTATATTTTAGGATAAACATTTAACATTACGATAAACATTAAAAATTATGCAGTATCTATATATTTTAGGATAAACAATTAACATTAGGATAAACATTAAAAAAATTATGCAGAATCTATATATTTTAGTATAGCCTCGGACTGTCTCAATAGAAAACATTCAAGAAATGCAAAAATTGTATTTCAGAACCATAATTAAAGTATGCATCATAAGCTATATTGTTAAAGAACAAATCTTAAGTAATATCTAAATAAACATAAATGATCAATAGCAGTCACACCAATAGTCTTCAGTTAAAATAGCTGGCCTAAATTCAACATTGATTGCCTCATCCTATAGTCCAAGAGTTTATCTTTCAGTTTTAGCGGGGGGTTTAACTGCTCTGTTATAGACTTTTTGTTCACTCAATATTTAGGATTACACATGCATTTATTATTATTCACAATTTTACTAGATGCTCCACCTTTTCACCTGACGGGATCTCACTTGTAATGAGTCCAACCTGTTACTAATGGTGAAGACATCTATTGTTCCTCCAGTTTCGGGCACAGGAACTTGTTCCTCCCGTTTCGGGCACAGCAAACTGAATATCACTTGATAAGCAAACTGAATATCCCTTGATAATTTCAGCATTCTGTAACCACCAGCTTTAGCTAAAGAGAGAAGAAAACTTCTTCAACTTCAGCAAAACCAAATTAAGATAACTCTTATTAATAGTTTTTTACACAATAAATAACAATACTAAAAAGTAATATCGGTCCAAAAAGTAATTAAAATAATAACAAACTTAAAACAGAACATGATTAACACAAAATGAAAATCAAATGGTTAATTAGTCAAAAATATAGATAATAATCAGAGGCGGAAATTTACCTGTAAGGATCTTCCATAATATCGGAAGTAGACCGTGCTAAGAGTGGAGCATATCGATTTTCGTTACTCATTTTCTCGGTAAAATTCTCACTCACGAAATGCAAGAAGCCTTCTAAGAATCGTATAGTATTGTTGAAGCAGAGAAACTACTGTAGACGTATCAAGATCTAGAGGAAGAAGGTCCGATCCAAGACAAACTAAATAATAAAAAATAAATACTATAAAGTCATACTGTACATTTATTATTACATCTTTATCAATACTACTAGTTCATTTTTCATTATGAAAACTATACATATTACTGATGTTTAAATAGTTTTTGTTTTTTAAATCAAACTATAAAATGGATACATTCAATTCACAAACAGAACATGCGTACTCCACGATTGTTCCTTCTGAATTCTTTTCGCCGCCAGCAACGTTGTACCTATCAAACAAACCAACAAAAAAACGAATTTTACCTATTTTCAATTTCCAACAACAAAACCCACCAAACCTTTTGATCCCAATGGAACAAAAACAATCTCTAATAATCAAAGACAAAAACTAGATGAGAAACTGGTCAAGATCAATGAGATCCTAATCCAAACTCATTGCTTTCGTTCTCACCATGGGTTACCTTCACCAAGGACATCTTTATCTCATCACCACCGAAGCTCACAAAACACGCCAATATTGTTGCAGTATCAATCTACGTCAACTCGGGTCAGTTCTCACCTAATGAAGATCTTTCCACTTACCCTTTTGATTTTGAAAGTGATGTTCAGAAGCTTTTGTCTGTTCCTGGTGGTGTTGAAGTTGTTTTTAATCCAAAGAATTTGTATGATTATGGGGATAGTGAGGGTGGTGAGGTGGTGTCTTGCGTTGAGAAGAGTGGTTTGGGACATGAGAGTTGGGTTAGAGTTGAGAAAATTGAAAAGGGTTTTTTAGGGAAGAGCAGGCCTGTTTTTTTAGAGGTGTTGCTACTATTGTTGCTAAGTTGTTTAATATTGTTGAGCCTGATGTTGCTGTCTTTGGAAAAAAGGATTATCAGCAATGGAGAGTTATTCAGAGAATGGTAATTGTTTTTAATATTTTTTAGATTTTTTCATATTTGGATTGATGGAATAAGATGGTATAGAGTGATATGTGATGAAATTTAGTTAAAATCTACTATTTGAATTAGTTAAAATCGGATGGAGCGAAGCAGAACCGAGTGGTATCAATTTCATTCTATTCCATCACTTCCCACTATTATTTCTTCCCCTCTAATTTGAGATGAAGAACTTTCCTCGTTCTATCTTAAAATATCAAAAAGATGGAGCGAAATCTCCATTCCCCCTCCATTCTGCTGTGTTGCATTCTTCCCCCTTCATTTTAGGATATTCAAACATAGATAGAACCATTAAAGTTTACTTTATTTATGATACACTTAGGGCTTATTTGTCTTTAAATATATATCCAAAGGGCTTATTTGTCTTTAAATATATATCCAAACGATGAAGTGAAATCTCCATTCCGCTTTGTTCCCTTGCACCTGTTCACCACCTTCCATGGTATGACTGAAAAATAGTATTCCACATGTTTAACTCACTTGTAGTCATTGTCTCTTGATAAGATGGATATCCAAACATGACCAGTCATAATATCAAAATAGAACGACAGAAGGAGAAGGATGGATACATCTTCTCGAGAGACAATGGCTACAAGTGAGTTAAACATGTGGAATACTATTTTTCAGTCATACCATGGAAGGTGGTGAACAGGTGCAAGGAAACAAAGCGGAATGGAGATTTCACTTCATCGTTTGGATATTTGAAGACAAATAAACCCTTCTAAGTGCATCATAAATAAAGTAAACTTTAATGGTTCTATCTATGTTTGAATATCGTAAAATAAAGAGAGTAGAAAGCAACACGGCAGAATAGAGGGGGAATGGAGATTTCGCTCTATCGTTTTGATATTTTAAGATAGAACGAGAAAAGTTCTTCATCTCAAATTAGAGGGGAAGAAATAATGGTGGTAAGTGATGGAATAGAATGAAATTGATACCACTCGATTCTGCTTCGCTCCATCTGATTTTAACTAATTCAAATAGTAGAGTTTAACTACATTTCATCACATATCACTCTATACCATCTTATTCCATCAATCCAAACATGAAAAAAATCTAAAAAGTATTAAAAACAATTACCATTCTATGAATAACACTCCGTTGCTGATCATCCTTTGCAACAATAGTAGCAACACTTCTAAAGAAAAGAGGCCCACTCTTCCCACAAAGATCCTTTTCAAGTTTCTCAACTCAAACCCAACTCTCATGTTACAAACCACTCTTCTCAACACAAGACACCACCTCACCACCACCACTACCCTCACTCTCCCCATAATCATACAAAGTCTTTGGATTAAAAACAACTTCAACACCAGCAGGAACAGACAAAAGCTTTTGAACATCACCTTAAAAATCAGAAGGGTAAGTGGAAAGATCTTCATTAGGTGAGAATTGACTCGGGTTGACGTAGATTGATACTGCAAAATCATTGGCGTGTTTGTGAGCTTCGGTGATGAGAGAATGATGCCATTGGTGAAGGTAACCCATGGTGGGAACAAAAGCAATGAGTTTGGATTGGGATCTCATTGATCTTGACCAGTTTCTCATCTGGTTCCATTGGGATCAAAAGGGTTTGGTGGGTTTTGTTGTTGAAAATTGAAAATAGGTAAAAAATTCGTTTTCTTTTTGTTTGTTTGATAGGTACAACGTTGCTGACGGCAAGAAGAACTCGAAAGGAACAATCGGAGAGGACGGGTGTTCTGTTCGCGAATTGAATGTATCTATTTTATAGTTTGATTTTTTAAAAAAAAAATTATTTAAACATTAGTAATATGTATAACTTTCATTTTTCATTTATAAAAATGAACTAGTAGTATTGATATAGATGTAATAATACTACTAGTTCATTTTTATAAATAAAAAATAAAAGTTAATAGGCAACAATTAACTACATATCAGATTTACTTTTATGCCTTGTTATGATAAAGGTAAAACTAAAAAATAACAGCGCATACCAATTACAATATTCCATGTAGCTAAGACATTCATTGTTTAGGAAAATCTTGTTGCATATTAACTACACAGGTATATCTCTGGGTCTTCATAGCATTTATCCAAAACAATCTTTCATGATTGAAGATTACTTATCATATAGAGTGAATATCAACAATTTCATATTCAAATCTCAGATTGTATATGCATATTACTTAAATACTTTTTGACAGCTAAAAACATTAAAACATTGAGTTTTAAGGAAGGTGGCAGGGGCAACTTTGGACCATCCATAGCAATCTATTATCTTGCAGTTTTATAAGATTTTACTTAATAGTTTATTAATATACAAAATGAAACTATGGCAACCAACACACCTGAGAGCGAAGGTTCTCTGTCTTATCAACTAAAAGCTCAATTTTCCCCCACAGTCCAAAACCTGCCAAAATGGATAAATGATATAAAGAATTCCATATGTCAAACATCAACAGATTAAACTACTTTAAATATGACCACTTGATAAATATGACCACTTGATAAAAATAATGGAAAAAATGGCTTTTGGGATTTACATTCTTCCTACATATATTATAGTCATCAGTATTATATGACATTGCTTGTATAGTGTGCAATGCTTTATTAGTATTCACTTCACCATTTTGTCTCCCATAGTGTGCTAATCTGTTCTTCTCTATATAATTTAGGTGGGAGTTTGTTTCAGCATTGTGTGAGGATTATGATGTTTTCTCTATTAGAAACCAGCCATTTCTTAGTTAAGTTTCATATTCTCTATTATGTGTGTTTACACTGTCCATCTTCGGTCACCCCTGCATTTTGATTTGTGATATTCTTAAAGCAGACAGTTTGGGTTTTAACTTTTGTTATTGAAAAAGTTGGACTGGCACCGTTCTGACATTTGAATTGAAAACTAGTTAGATTTTACTTTTTTAAATATAAAAAAAAAAACTGATCTCAGAATCGGTATGGATTAAAATTTAAGTATTGATGGTTGGTGTCTATTTTAATTATCAGGCCACTTTATTTTAGTTATATCTATCTCTATTTATAAGAAATATGATGCAATTTAATGCATATGTGTGACGGGCACTTTTGCCTTTACATATCTCGTGCTTGACGGATCGATATGCCCATACCTACCTATGTCTGTCGGGTTCATTCTAGGTCAATATCTACACGCCTCGTGCTTAGGAGACAATTTTGTATTGCCCCCATTTAGCTTGTCAAGTTTAAAAGCAAACAATTTTGTATCTACAAGTTCAAAATGTTTCAAGATCACTAAATGTGAATTTGACACTAAAAAAAGTACTCAAATAAGAATTTGAATATAAACATCCATGCATTTTAATATCATGAAAAATGCTTAATGGAAGAATATTAGCCAAAGTTATATGTTTAGATTGATTAATGGAAGAATACGTGATATTTCAATTGTACAACAAACCACATGGCTTGTAGCTTGTGCTATCCTTTGTGCTTTGATTGCCAAAATATTGAAATAGAATAAATACTCAGGAAACAAAGCGCGGTCTAAATTATTCAATCCCAAGTTTTGCAGTCACTAAACTTCAATCCACTCCTTTACTGTCATGAAGTTGTTATTCAGCATTTAGTCTAATTCTGTATAGCAACTCTCGTAGAACTTCGCGAGGCGGTTAAATGCATCTCATCCATAAATTGTAGAAAAATATCCCTTATGTTTTGTACTCTATGAACTGCTAGAACTACTAACCAATAGTTATGTGCTCCATGTATATATATAATGACAAAGAAGGTTAGATTAAATTATAAGTCGATTTCCATATTGTCTATAAGTCTGACCTTCCCAAACAATGCAGCAACACAGCAACAGGACTTTTGATCAACTCCACTTTCTCTAGACTCTGTTGATCAACAATCTGCATGAAAATATCATCAAAATAACTTGATATTCAGGAATTTAGTGCTCTTAGGTTGAAAATAAACTATAGAGGCAATGTAAATAGTTTAGGAGGATTGTAAAATTATGCGCTTTTAGAGAAGGTTTAA